AGGGTCGGTATGTATTTGTTAAGGGGTTCCTTGAACAGAAAGAAGTTACACTAGTTAATGTGTATATACCACCTGGCCAGGATAATTCCTGTATAAGAGAAATTTTTGATTTGATTGCCTCTGAAGCGACTGGGGTTTTAATATGTGGAGGAGACTGGAATATCCAGCTACAAGCTAGACTCCTCTAACACATTAAAGAGACCTGCTCCCAACACTAGAGTAATGAAGAATATGTTGACAGACCTCGGGATGATTGATGTATGGAGGGAGCTCCACCCAACAGAAAGACAGTACACATTTTATACACATTTTATTCAGCAAGTCACAGAGTGCACTCAAGAATTGACTTTTTTTTTTTTTTTACATATAACTCAGACAGACACAGACTCAAGGAATGCAGTATAGGGATTCGAGGTGTCTGACCATTCACCTGTTTATCTAACCCTGCACCTAGACAATAAAAAGAAAAACACGTTTTGGCGACTTAATACAAGTATCTTAAATGATAACACATGTAAGAACTATGTACGAAAGGAATTTAAATAGCACATGGAAAACAACAATAATGGGGAAGTATCGCCAAGTGTTTTGTGGGACGCTGCTAAATCAGTGATCAGAGGAAAGCTTATTGCCTACACATCATGTAAGAAAAAGGAAAGAGATAAAAAGCTATCTGATCTACAAGAAAATCTGAAAGTGTTAGAGAGGGAACATGTTGAAGGGAAGGATCCCCACATTCTAAATAAAATCAATACTATCAAAAAGGAATTAAATTGACTCTATGAGAAGGAATTAGAGAAAAAATCCAAGTTTGTTAAGCAGAGATATTATGAGAATGGCCCTAGGGCCCTGAAACTCCTGGCATGGAGGCTAAGGAAGCAACAGTCATAGAGTTCCTTATTTGAAATTAGAGACCCTAGAACTAAAAAAGTGTGCCACAAATTAGAGGACATACAACACATTTTTGAAAACTACTACAGAGAACTATACAGGGAACCAAATAAAACTAGTCCTCAGGATATACATACATTTCTAGAATCACTAGATCTACCCTCCATAGATGAAGAACAGAATAAAGCCCTAACGGCAGATATCACAAAGGAGGAAACAGAAAAAGCAATTTCTAAATTGAAGGCCAATAAAGCGCCGGGAACGGATGGCTTCCCGGCCGAATGATATAAGGCCTTTAAAGAGCAAATAGTGCCCATACTTTTGGACTGCTTTAACCACACACTTAAAGAAGGGGATCCACCAAGAACATGGAGGGAAGGGAACTGCGCATTGGTTCGACAGCCCATTGTTCCGACCATATTAAACTCATTGTTCCGAAGTCCGTTCCGAAATCATCATGATGCCGTGTGGTTAAGGTCTGGTTAGGTTTAGGCACAAAAACCACTTGGTTAGGGTCAGGAAAAGATCATGGTCTGGGTTAAAATGAAAAAGAAAGTGACAAACACATAAGCCGTGAGCCTGCTCCGCCTCAAGTCGGTCGTGGCTCACCATACGCCCGCCGCGAGCCGTTCAGCACCGCGGACAGTCGGACTAATGGGATGTCGAACCAATGACATGGACCCGATTTTAGACGTGTGCAGCCCTCATCTCCTGACTTCACAGTGATTGATGGTCAGGCAGTTGAAATTGTAGGCACTATTCTTGACAATAAGCTGACATTTGAGAAAAATATGGACTTGATTTATAAGAAAAGTTTTATCGTTCTTTTATTGAGTCTGTGATCACGTTTTCCTTTATCTGTTGGTTTCACTCCTTGAGGGTAAAAGAGAGAAATCTCCTAAACAAAGTTGTTAGTGTGTGTAGTAAAATAACGGGGTCTGCACAGGAAACTTTACAGGACCTGACAGACAGACGCAAGACAATATTAGACGGGTGCTGCACGTACTTGATCATGTAACTAAGGGGAATAACAGAGCTGTAGCACTCAGTCTAGATGCCGAAAAGGCGTTTGACTCGGTTCGCTGGGAGTACTTATATCTGATGCTGAGAAGATTTGGATTTAAAGATGACTCGATTAGATGTTTTAAAACACTATACTTCTCCCCAGATGCCAGATTAAAAATTAACGGACATCACTCACAGCCCATTAAGCTGGAGCGAGGCTGCCGTCAAGGTTGTCCTCTCAGTCCAGCTCTTTTCTCGCTATTTCTCGAACCCTTAGCACAGTCAATTAGGGATGACCCAACAATAAAAGGAATAATGGCCAGTGGCTTGGAGCAAAAGATTTGCCTATATGCGGATGACGTGCTATTGCTTATAACAGTGCCAGAGGTCAGCATCCCTAGGTTGATGTCTACACTGAAAGACTTTGGAACCTATTCTGGATATAAATTAAATGTGCAAAAAACCCAAATTTTAATTTTAATTTTTTTTAATTTTAATTTTTTAATTTAATTTAATTTTAATTTAATTTTTAATTTTAATTTTATATACTTTATTAATCCCCGAGGGGAAATTCAATTTTTCACTCTGTTTGTCAATTACACACAGGTCCGAACACACACATGCACAAACTGGACCTATACATGCACTAAGTGGAGAGATGTCAGAGTGGGCTGCCCATGACAGGCGCTCCGAGCGGCTGGGGGGTTCGGTGCCTTGCTCAGGGGCACCTCGGCAGTGCCCAGGAGGTGAACTGGCACCTCTCCTGCTACCAGTCCACGCTCCATATTTTGGTCCGGACGGGGACTTGAACAGGCGACCCTCCGGTTCCCAACCCAAGTCCCTATGGACTGAGCTACTGCCGCCCCATGTTATGTTATAACTACACTCCTCAGAAAGACATGCTAAATAAATTTGATTTTAAATGGAATTCATCTGAAATTAAGTAGTATTCCTCGACTGTTATATCTCTTTCAATCCCTGCCAGTAATGGTTACACCAATGCAATTTAACGAATGGGATAAGTGGATCTCAAGATTCATATGGGTGGGAAGAAGGCCAAGGATTCAATTCAAAACACTGCAACTGTCTAAAGAGAAAGGGGGTAGATCATTACCATGCTTAGCAGACTACTATAAGGCAGCGCAATTAAGATCACTGGCATGCTGCTGTAACCCGAATTATACAGCAAAATGGAAGGATTTGGAAACTTTACAATTAGATATACCGTTACAATCTATACTGGTTAGTAAAATACTGTATGAACAGCATTCTAGTGGCCTGAATCAATGGTCTAAAGTTTGCCTTCAAATTTGGTTTAATGAATGTAAATCACCATTACTTGAAAGACAGTCTAAACTGCTAAGATGGGTTTCTTTTGACCCCGAATTCAAACCTGCTAGGATTGACGGGAGGTTTAAACACTGGTATAGAAGTTCTTACTGTTCAATTTCATCGAAGGGAGAATTTGATAGTTCTCAGAAAATTTCGGATACATATGAGTTAGAAAAACTGGATTTCTTTAGGTATCTTCAAATCAGGACTTATTTTAATGATGAGATAAAACCAACACAGGAATGTGAGACTAACTTAATTGACATATTTATTGACATGTACAAAAATAAGGACAATAAGAAACTTGTTTGAACACTGTACTCCCATATTCAATCTAATAAGAAACACTCAACAGATAAGGTTAGATTAAAGTGGGAAAAAGAATCTGGAACTATCATCACAGAAGAAGAATGGTTGAATATGTGCTCTGTGCAGTCAACTTCCACTAGTTCTGGTCTTTGGAGAGATTTTTGCTGGCGGAATCTGGTCAGGTATTTCATAACTCCTAAGTTAAAATGTGTGCAGACAGGGGAGACAGTCAGAGGTCTATGTTGGAGGAACTGTGGAGAACAGCTAGCAGACCATTTTCATATATTTTGGAGCTGCCCAGCTATTCAGCCATACTGGCAAGAGATTATACGGGTAATACAAAATATTTTTGGTGACGAAATTTACTGCTCTTTTTCTACAATCTATTTGGGCAATATTGCACCCCATTTACTGATGCGAGACAAATATCTTTCAAAAATATTATTAGCAGCCAGCAAGAAAGCTGTAACCCGAAAATGGTTGCAGGCGACACCTCCAACAGAGACAGACTGGATAGATATTGTGACTAATATTCAAAATATGGAAAGGATGACCTTTTCGCTAAGTCTACGGATGGATAAGTATTTGAAATACTGGGAAAAATGGATTATGTTTGTGACCACAAGAGATGATAACTGAGCCATTACTGTATGACTTGTATCTCAATCAGTATAACGTATGTATGAATGTGTAGGTGACCAACTGTTTTTTCTATGTTTTTTTTGTTTTTTATACTGTATGTTGTGTTTGTTCTTTCTATAAAAATAAAGTACAAATAAAAGAGTAGGGAGGAGGACTTATAAGAGACTTAGGAGTTTCTAAAGCAGGGGAGAGAATGGTGGAAACACGAGGAGTCGGAGAAATATTCCCCAAACGCTGCATGACAGTGAGTCAATGAAATGCTACAGATTACATCATGCAAGGATAATATATGTGATCATTCTCGTTAGGGGTATGCACACATTTCACACTCAACGCAATAATACTATAACACCAGAAATAATTGATCACAAGACTAAGATATCTGAAAAACTTGAAAAATCCAACAGTGCAGCAGTGATGACTTTTGTCTGTCTCAACCTTCCATCAGCAGAGTGATCACACTAAAAATGACATCACTTTAACAGTCAGCATTTCATTTTATTTCCCCTGAGTGTCCACACCTTGCAGGCTCACAAAAGGTGTCTGTGACAACCAATCACATCTGTTACAAGAATGCATCACACCCAGCAACGGGGTCAACCATACCTCCTCACTAAGATAAAAGTTTCTGTCCCTTCCTTAGTAAGAGTTGCCCTGAGATCTTTCCTAAGTCACTCCTAAGCTAAGACTCCTTACTAAAAAATGTTTAGGCTAAGTTAGGAGGTCTCTGTGAGTATTCTCAGAATGTTTGTGAATACAGGCCTCATGTGTCTGAGAGGTAGAAACTAACTATGTATGAAATGTGCATGCAAACTACTTACTGAGATAAAGGGGTAGGTGAGAGTTGTTGTGAGCCTCTCTGTATGCAATGAGGTTGATCTCGTTCTGCCGGCGCTGCTGCTGGAAACGTTGCTTGGAGCGCCAGTGCTGACAAACACAGCAGCATGTCAGGATAATGATCAGAGCCCACACCAGCCAGAACCCTGCAGGGAACCAAAAACACAAAAACACCACAATTAATACATATCTTGACATATAGTACAAAGAGTTTGTCTACGCAACGGTCAAAATCTTAGCTTCAGTACTAACAAACAAGCATATAAACAGTTCACAGTTCTTGTGTGTCACTTTTTAATGTTGTTGTGACAAAACCAAACATCTTACTATATAATGACAAAAACTCTGTGTGTGTGTGTGTGTGTGTGTGTGTGTGTGTGTGTGTGTGAGCGCGCACGCGCGTCTGTTCCACGTTTTTCTCCTCACTGACTTGGTCAATCCATGTGAAATTTGGCACAGTGGTAGAGGGTCATGGGAGGATGCGAATGACGCAATATTACATCAATTGGCCAAAGGGGGGCACTATAACAACCGACTGAAATTGCAAACTTTGAATGGGCATATCTCATGCCCCGTATGTCGTAGAGACATGAAACTCTGCACAGAGATGCCTCTCCTCACCAGGAACAAATTTGCCTCAAGGACCCATAATATTTTCCACCATTTTGAATTTTTTGAAAAACACTTAAAATCGATCTCTTCCTAGGAAGTTTGACTGATCTGCATGAAACTCGGTGAACATAATCTAGGGACCAATATCTGAAGTTCCCTCTTGGCAAAAGTTGGAAAACTTACTAAAACTGAGCTTCTATAAGGCAATGAATATTGCGGAGGGCGTGGCTCATCACATAAAGGTGTATAACATCTCAAGGGTTTCACCAATCACCACACAACTTTGTAGGCATATGACCACTCATAATCTGAGAGGACCCCTCCATTATTGACCCGATCAAACAAAATGGGGGCGCTAGAGAGCTAATTTCTTATCTAGGCCTTACCGCCATATCGATTTTTAATAAACTTGGTAGATATGTAGAACAGGACGCCTCAAGGTGACTGGAGAAATTTAACTCTAATTGGCAACTGGGTGGCGCTATAACAACAGAAAAATGCTTAAAAATGGCTTAAATGCGACCGATCGCTGTGGCTCCCCCTGTGGCCAAATGTTGTTTTTTTCAATTTTTGGTATGACAAAGTCATGGTATGGTATTAGTGTTGCACGGTATACTGGTACCAACGGGAGACCGCGGTACAAAAACACCACGGTACATATGATACCATAATGTTGGAGTACCGTAGCACTACGGTACCTCACGGAACCACTACTGTGGGATAAGTTCAAAGTCCAATCACAAGAGGGTGAGTGTCCATGCGCCGTCCAATAACGGCGTGTGCTGGCCAATAACTGCATGCACTGGCCACCTGGCACTCAATTTGCTGCTGCAGTGGTTTGTTTTCCAGTGACATTTCAGGTATTAGCTGAGCTATGAAATATCTTTGAGCAGTTAAAATTATTATTTATTTATTTTTACTTGTAGGCTAGAGTTGTTTATATATGCTACAGTAATTTGTTTTCCACAGAGCTCTACTGTGCAAGCATTTTATTCGCATTTGCGACTTAAAATAGTTTTGTGCGAGCAAAAGAAATCATTAAGGAGCACACTGTGTGAGTACAGATTTCAACCAGCAGCAGAAACGAAAGGCGAATCCTGCCGGTTGTGGATTGAACGGGGGTCACAGACACAGACAGGAATACATATTCCTGTCAAATACGGCAGCCGTAGTGCTCCGCGGCGCAAGATAATGGCTTACCGGTGACCGAGAAGCCCGGCTCCAGGTCCAATAAGTCTTCGTTGTAGTGTTGTCACGGTACCAAACTTTGGGACCCACGGTACGATACCAGTGAAAGTCGGGTGTACTCTAATGCGTTAGTTTGTAACGCGTTAGAGTACTTTGATTACTTTTTGCAGTAACGAGTAACCTAACGTGTTAGTTTGCTGTTTGAGTTATCAAATACTTAAGTACATTTTCAAACAAGATATCAGTTACTTCCGTTACTTTTAGAACGCTGGTCCTTAAGCTCTGAAACAGCAACGGCTGTCGTTTGGTTCTAATAACGGAGATAACGTTAAACCTATCAGTCGGAAAGAAGCCACGGAGCTTGTGGCTCGCTACGTGGTCGGAGAAATGCTGCCGTTGTCTATGGTGGAGTCTAAATAGATGGAGTAGGACTCACTGACAGACATATTTCAGACTCAGGACTTGCATTATTCCTGGTACACGCTACACGCTGGTACTCACCATTTATCCCCGGTCGTCTTTCACGGCGTGTGTGATGTCATCGGGTTATTCTTGTCCTGTTTTTATCACTTTCACTATTATTTGAGTCACTGTGTCTGTTCATGTGCCAGCCGACTGTAAACTGTCCAGCTACTGTATCTTCCACAGGAAGTTCTGACAAATGTTTCAGAATAAAAGCCTATTTAGAAAATGGAGGGATTCTCTCAGCCGAGGTTATAAGGGGCTTTTAATTTGAAACAAGCGTTGAGTTTGAAATGACGGTGTGATATGTTAACTAAGACAACGAAGGGGATAAAAAGTAAATATATCAACACACAGAGGGATTAATAACTAACGGACCGTCTATAATGTAGTTTGTTTCAAATGAAGCTGGGAGCCTCTGCAGCTGCGGTGAGTAAAAGCCCCGCCGCTATTTGTTAATGTTATTACTTTATGTCCGACCGTGAGGATGTACCATTGTTTGCTAGCTTGATGCTAATGACAGTAACGTTAACTCAGCGGGTTGACAAAGTGCCTCTGCGTTTCACACCATCATTTCCCCCTTTTACTCTGTGTGGTAACATCCCTAGAGGAAATATAAAAAACGCTGGGGTGTTGTTGTCATACAGCTGTCTACGGCAGCAGATTGTTCTGTGTTTCTACTGGTCAAAGTGACGGCTGTGATGGGAGAATTGGATCAACTTTAATTTTGGAGAAAAAAAAATGTAGGCTTAGCGCTCTGTGGTCCATTGCCCAATAGGAAATGTAGAATACTCAAAAGTACTTTAAAAGTGCTTGAGTTACTTTTCTCAGGGAGTAACGTTGGAAGTACTTTTAAAGTAATTGAGTTACTTTACTCAGGGAGTAACGCAGTAAAGTCACTGTTTCCCACACGTTCATTTATTCGCGGCGGCCCGCCACAAATAAATTTTGGCCACCACGAATACATTTTTCGGCTTTTGACTCGACCTCGCCTCCGGACTGTTTGCTTTGTGAATGTTGCGTGTCGTTACAATTCTGGCGCATTGGATGGCGGTATGCATTGTAACGCCGCCTATAAATTAATAAGATGCAGAAGAAGAAGTCGTGGTGGGCCTATAAATTGAGAAGACGCAGAAGAAAAAGTCGTGGCGGAAGAGGCGTGGCTCGAACGACGAAGGTAAGACGTGCCGGTACAAAGTGGTCAAATAAGCCCAAAAGTGGTCCGAACAACTCTAACTCATCATGTTATATCAGCCTGTGTCTGTATCAAACCTGGAAGCTCAAAATGTGCAGAGACATTAACTGTTAGTGTACGTTAGCCGACAGGCACCCGTTGAGCTGCTGCCGCTAGCGCCGTAATGTTAGCCTACATAAATCGGCTCTGCTCATTAGTAATTAACTTGGATGTTCACTCCTTTACACAGATGAGTATAGAAAAATATTTTCTGAAGAAGAAAAGACCTCGTCTTGAAGAGGAGGTAGGTTCCGGACCTCACGGGGTATTATCAAAACGGTATAAGACGCTTAAGAAACGCACGGAATAGTGACAAGACTTCCATCAGTGTGAAATGTATTTGCTTTCAATATTTCCAGGCTTCAACTAGCGCTGCAGCTGTGGCAGCAGATGCAGCTGCGGCAGAGAGAGAGAGAGATGCGGCAGTAAGAGAGAGAGAGAGGAGGAGGAGGAGGAAGGGATAGTAGTGGTGGGTAACATTACGCAGGGAGATGTAGGGGAGGAAGCAGGCAGCAGGCAGCAGGCAGTGGTTCCAGCTAGGGCGGAGGTAACAAACACAGGGAAATAAAACAGGGGTCGGGTCAGATCAGAAATGCATTTTTCCCATAAAAGGTTCCTAATTTTTTATGTTTTTTTGCCCTATAGAGAAGACAACAGCAAAACACAGGGTCAGTGGTTTTGACCCTGAGTGGCTAAACATGCCTCAATTTAAATCCTGGCTGTATCACACGCAGCACGGTAAATTTAGTATCTGCATTATTTCTTCAATTATGACCATGTTTTTTTTTTTGTTCTGTTTTATAATTTTATGATTGCTCTACATTTCAGGGATGTTTTGTAGATTATGCAGGCAGCACAAGCCCCCTGCTAAGAATGGCCCAGCAAAGAGGGCCTTTGTGGAGTTTGGAGGAGTGCTTTATAGGAAGGATTACATCGAAAGGCATATCACCACTGAGCACCATCAGCAGAGCGTAAAAAGCCAAACATCTCTTGCATCTGGTAGGTTCCAATTTCAACATCAAATATGTAAATATAACTAATTTTGAGTGTAACAATTTAATATTTATCATTTACATGCTTCTCAGTGATGGATGCGTTTGAGCCCACAGTTGTTGTGGAGCATGAGGCAGTAATGGGTGGCTTCAAATGCCTTTACTGGCTCATTAAAAATGAACTGGCCCATCACACAAACTACCCCAAGCTTTTAAGTCTGGCTGAGCTTCTGGGTTGTGATTATTTTAAGAAATTGAAGGTAAAGGTCACCAGGATTATTTATAATAAACCATTCTTTACATTAATAAATAAAAATTACACAAATTTTCTCTTTCCTAATGTGAAGATTGACCAGCGCAACAACTACAGGTCTCATCGTATCATTGATGAGATGCTGGAGATTTTGGGGGAGGTCATTGAGGAACCTGTACTATCAGAAATCCAGTCCTCAAAAGCAATAGCATTGGAGGTTGATGAAAGCACAGATGTCTCCACAGCCAGGCAGCTTGATTTGCATGTCTGGTATGGAAGTAAAATTTAATAAACAACTTTCAGATCCTGTGTAATATGTGAATATTAATAGTTTGCTTTCTTCTCAGATACCTGGATAAAGAGGGCCTTGTCTATAACCAGTTCCTGGACCTGGTTGAGCTTTCA